CCATTTTACAGATGAAACTGATAAAGAAATAATGTTGCTTAACTTTGCTTAAGGTCATTATGCAGTTAGTTGGTAAGTGGTAGGACCAGGATTCAGACTCAGACATCCTGTCTGCAGAACCCTTGCCATTAACTTCTAACCATGCCTGTGCTGTCAGTATGGCTAGTCTGAATTGAGATGTACTGTGAGCATAAAATGCACACTTGGAAGACTTAGTATGAAAAAAAGAATGTAAAATATATCAATAATTGTTAATATCATTTCATGTTGAAATATTTTTGATATATAAATAAAATATATTATCACAACTTAAGTGGTTGTCCACAACTGTATAAATAGGCAAATGAGAATTAAAGATGGCCTAAGAATAAATCCTAAAGCTTTTCTCCAGATTTTATATATACAAACAGTATATTTAAAAAGATCATTTTAGTATTCTGGTTACATTTTTTCAAATGTCTTTATCTCTTAGAGATATAGACAAAAATTTATATGAATAAAGTGATACCAATCTAGGATTGTCTTCAAAATAATCCAGGAAATAGATGAAACAAAAAATGGCTCTTAGTTAATAATTATTGATAGTGGTTACATGGGGATTAGTTATCCTTTTTTTTTCTATTTTTGTACATATTTGAAATATTCCATAATAAAGTTTTTAAAAATTGAAAAAATACCAGAAAATGTTTTATCTTTAAAAACATAGCATTTAATGCAAACTATAGATACGTTAAATTTCTAAGTAGGCATTACCTATTAAATCTATTTTATGAGATCAATTTGACCCACTTCATTTTCTTTGTAATGGTCAGGTGCTCTAACATAATCCCTGTTCCCTGCTCTGCTGACACTATCATGCACCTCCATACACAGAGTTGGTCAGGTATCCCCTTTTGGTGCCTGTTAAAATGTATGGTGTACCAACATGGGCCAGTGAAGCAACGTCCTCCCAAAAAAAAAAAAAAAATGAGCTTAAGAATCAACATTGGGTCCCTTAATATTATAATAAAGTAGATTAAAAAAAAAAAAAGTATGGTGTGAAATTTGTGGTTCAACCATACAAATGAATAGAACTTCAAGGTACATATTTTCATATTAACCTTCCTGACTTCATTTTATATCTTTGTCCTTGTTTGTCTTTATTATTTTCAACTAACTTTTAAAATTTCCTTCTCACCATTTCTGTCTTTTCACCCAGCTTATCCCCAACCACTTAACTTTCATTTGTGTCCTTCCAGAATTTCTTTATGTATATATGCACATAAAATGATATTTTTTCCCTCCTTTAAAAAGCAAACATAGCATACTACAGACATTGTGCATCTCGCTTTTCTCAATGAATATGTCTTTATGAGATGTATAAATAGGTAGAACAGTGAGATTCTTTATTACAGGCACATAAACTGTTCATTGCGTGGATGTACCAAATGTATTTAGCCACTGATGGACAGTTGTTTTTCCAGTATTTTGCACATCTTACTCCAAAATTGTGTGTGTGTGTGTGTGTGTGTGTGTGTGTGTGTGTGTGTATTGGGTTGTTGGAAAAGTCATGACGTATTTTTTCTCTGTTTTTTGTTGCAAAAATGCATCATGACTTTTCCGACAACCAAATATATATATCTTTTTCAATATTCGTAAATGCTTCTTTGGGATGGGGCTGGCTATAAATAAAAATATTAGCTTTGAATAGACTTTGCTGAGTACTGTGTTTAATGGGAATTGTTCGTATTTCAGGTTGCTCTTCTATTGTTAGAAAAAGAAGTATTGGATAAGAATGATATGGTTGAACTTTTGGGCCCCAGACCATTTGTGGAAAAATCTACCTATGAAGAATTTGTGGAAGGCACTGGCAGCTTGGATGAGGACACTTCACTTCCAGAGGGCCTTAAGGACTGGAACAAAGAACGGGTAAAGGAAAAAGAAGAGCCCTCAGAGGAGAAAATCGCCAACCAAATCCAAGGAGGGAAGCCATTTTAGCTTATATTGTGATTTCAGTTTGCAAATTATTTCAACTCTGGCTTTCTCAGAAGAATGAGAACACTGCTAAGTTGATCTTAACAAGCTGCTGACCAGTTGAAGTGGTGGAAAGAGGAGTACTTAATCCTCAGCCTCAGAAGTCCCAATCTGGGTGGCAGGGTGATTCTCCCAAGAACCCAGACTCTGGGGGAATGAGGTTGGTGCTCAGTGTGTTCCCTCTCTACCGTCAGTGAAGCCAGCTGAATGTGTGTCAGGGACAGAATCTGCCAATGTGAGAGAGGTCTGATTTTCACTTTCCATTACCCACTCTTCATTCCCATTTCCCTTCAGAGGCTGTGAAATTAGAGTCCTGATAAGAATATTTTAATTTGACTAATACTTTAAAGGTTGACTCTAGATCAATGTTGCTGTTTTAATGGAATGGTTTTCTACAGAGAGCTGTAACATATTTAAAAATATGAATGTATTATGTAAATACAGCTTCTTTACATCAAAAATAAAGTGTAAACTGTACTTTTTTCCTTCTGAACACACAAAGGGTCACTGTTTATGCTTGGGATACTTGCTTTTAGAACACAAAATGTTAGTCTTTCTGGCTCTCAACAGCTCCCACAAGAGGATGAGTAATCTCTAGATGTAAAGTATGTTGATACCATGTTGGTCGGTTGAAGAATCTCTGATAATGCTATCAGTTTTCATCCTCACTAGACTGGTCATGACCACACGTTAGTAACACCATCTGAGTCTGGAAGTTGATGGGTAACCATAGTGGGTCTGGCAGGCTGTCCCAAGTCATCACCTTGATTTCAGAGAAGGGTAGTGACATTAAGCTAGGAAGGCCCCTGTGTCCTGGATCTCCTGTGACTTCCCAGGTCTTCTGAATCATAAGCTGTTGCAGTAACTTAGAAGGGTGTGTGTGGTTCCAGAAAAGCTGAGGTCTGCAATGTTGCAAACCTAGATCAGATTCTTACCAAAAGGTGGCGTGAGGAAGATGTACTGAGTCTTCAAATACCCCTCTTTGGACTTGGAGGTATCAAACATTTTTGCATTTATTAATATTTATTTTTTTAGCAGCCTTCTTTAATGTTATTCCAGCTTGCCTTACATATTCTTCATGTAGTTAAAGTATGTTGTGGGAACAGTGACTTCTTAGACTTAAGTTACAGAATTAGGTGGCATCTCGAGCAGCACTGGGCTGATGGGGTGGGAGATGGCCCAAGCAAGCCACTTCCTCCTGTGACCACACTTCCAGACAGTCCAGAGATGGCTGAAGTCCAGCTCACCGGCCACAGAAGCTTGACTCCACTAACTCCGCATTGCAGGAGCATGGGAGGTGCTTGAGTTTCTCAGTGACCTGCAGAAGTAACATTGACGGCCTCCTTTCCTCAAAGGATGCTTATGGGAGGTAGTTGAGTGAAGACTTGTTTTAAGGCCGTAGGACTCACTTGGCCATCAGTGTTTAGTGTGCTGTTCTCCACACCAGGAGGAGATAAGGAGACATTGTACTCCATTATACTGCGAGGAAAGGTGCCAGCACGTGCTGTGCTGGCAGGCCTCAGCTGAGAGGCCTCCTGGGTGGCATAAAGTGCATTGTGTCAAATATGAGTCATGTTTGATTCAGTAAAAGTGACAAAGCTGTGTGTGAGACATGGTCAGATGGTAACCCATCTCTTCCCCTGCGTTCTGTGAGACAAGCTACAATCATGCACTGTAATCGCAGATGGTGGGCCAGTACGACCTGAAGTAGCCCCTGCAGCCCTCTATCTGTACAAGATGGGTCACACCTGCTCTCCGTAGCACTGGGGTGTTACCTGTGTTGGCGCCTACAGCCTAGCCCACAGTAGGTGCCCATGGTACTCATCTTTTCTAAGGTCAATCAAACCCTAGCATATTTCCAGGTTAGATGGGGATGGCGATCTATTTTTACTGCAGTCTCACAAAATAGTTCAGATTTCTGCAAAAATGAGATCTGTTCTCACCTCAGTTCAGGTCATGCTGCTGTGTTTAGTGATTCACTTTCTGTCTGCCCAAGGGTGGGGCTTAACACAAAATAAATGCAGTTACTGGATGTGAGCCATGGCATCACAGAGCACGGGTGTTCTGTCAGGAGGGGCTGGGTCACACTGGGGTGACCATAGATCTCAGTGGTTCCAAATGACAAAGGCTCATTTCTCTCTTACTCCAACAAAGTTCAGGGGGCTCTGCTCAGCAGCATCAATGGAGATGCTGGGTCATCTGCCCCCCACTTGGGAGGGCCAGCACTAACATTTGCTTCCGGCTGGAAGTGACATACCACTCATTATTTTGGCTAAAGCAAAGTCACACGTTCACAACTAACTTCAAGGGGGCAGGAAGGAGAAATAACCAGTGGTAAACAGCGGATGTCTGCCAATTCCTATTAAGACTAGCCCGGTCCTGTCCTGTGAAGTTTGACTTTACAAGACCTCTTAGTGAAGAGGCTAGTTACAGGAACTGTCAAGTAGTGATTTGTTATGTAGAAAAGAGCCTTCACCCTCTTCACCAGTGGCCTGGCCTTGCGGTCCCGCTGGATTCCCAGTCTGAGAGCCCTTCTCTCCATGCTGGGCCAGGCAGCTGGCCCAGGCTCTGGGTCTAAGTCCCTATGTAAGGAAGCTCAGCGGCTCTCAGAACCCACCCAACCCGGTGTCCCCTTACCCACCAACAGCTTGATGGAAGACTAAAGGTCATTTTCTGTGGCTCCTCTGGCAAATCTCAGCCAAGTTGTTCCGGAAGGCTGGGACCCACTAGCCTAGAACATGATGTAGGGAAGTGAAAGATTCTGATGGAGGTCTAAGTGCTTGTTGCAAATGGGGATGATGGCTTTTCTTTACGTATGCATTACATTTAGGCCCAGAAGAATTCTGGCTACCACCCTTAAAGCTTGCAATTCAAGAAAAGCCCCTTTCCTCTCAGTTCTTTTAGTGAGCTGCAGGGGCTGTTCACCCAGGAAGGGACCAGAGACCAGAGCAATCCTTGTAAGAATACAAAGTAACAAATCTATCATATAAGTAGAGGCTGGAAGAGACAAAGTGTTTTATTATGAATAAATTGTTTCAAAGTTCAGTATTGCATTTTGAATATCAGGTAACACTGCACAGCTTCAGGTTTCATCACAAATAATGAAAGAACAGTTTCTAACTTCCCCGCTAATTCTCAGACATGACTGAACACTTAACAGAAGGTGAGGTTTATTTATTTTTGATGGCCTATTAGTTCTTTCAAGTCCTCCAGTAGAAAATCTCTCTCATCTGATCTGATTGGGTAGGACTGGCGATTCTCTGCTATTTCAATGTACTTTCTTTATTCCAGATGACTGAGAGTACAATTTGATTGCATTTGAGAGGGGCCTGCACCCATATATTTAGACAAGTGCACCATTCGGTGGCCATTAGAGTTGACACACCAGTTAAAGAACATCTTAACTGTATCTGAGACAGGGACATTATTCGTTGATCTCCTCTTCATCGTCTTCAAAAGCTTCTTCGCCATCATTGGCCGTAGCTTCTTGATACTGCTGGTACTCTGACACCAGGTCGTTCATGTTGCTCTCCGCTTCTGTGAACTCCATCTCATCCATGCCCTCTCCCGTAAACCAGTGTAGGAAGGCTTTCCGGCGAAACATGGCAGAAAACTGCTCCGAGATGCGCTTCAACAGTTCCTGGATGGCCGTGCTGTTGCCAATGAAGGTGGAGGCCATCTTGAGGCCCCGAGGAGGGATGTCACACACAGCCACCTTGACATTGTTGGGGATCCACTCTACAAAGTAGCTGCTGTTCTTGTTCTGGATGGCCAGCATCTGCTCGTCCACCTCTTTCATGGACATAGGACCCCGGAAGACAGTGGCCACGGTCAGGTAGCGCCCATGTCTTGGATCACAGGCTGCCATCATGTTCTTAGCATCAAACATCTGCTGAGTCAGTTCTGGCACTGTGAGGGCCCGGTACTGCTGACTGCCTCTGGCAGTCAAGGGGGCAAAGCCAGGCATGAAGAAGTGGAGACGGGGGAAAGGGACCATGTTCACTGCAAGCTTGCGGAGGTCAGCATTGAGTTGGCCCGGGAAGCGTAGTGAGGTGGTGACTCCGCTCATGGTGGCCGACACTAGGTGATTGAGGTCCCCATAAGTTGGCGTGGTGAGCTTCAGGGTGCGGAAGCAGATGTCATACAGGGCCTCATTGTCGATGCAGTAGGTCTCATCTGTGTTCTCCACCAGCTGGTGGACTGACAGGGTGGCGTTATAGGGCTCCACCACAGTGTCTGAGACCTTGGGGGAGGGCATCACGCTGAAGGTATTCATGATCCTGTCGGGATACTCCTCTCGGATTTTGCTGATAAGCAGCGTGCCCATGCCCGACCCTGTTCCTCCCCCCAGGGAGTGGGTCAGCTGGAAGCCCTGCAGGCAGTCACAGTGCTCACACTCTTTCCTCACTACGTCAAGCACTGAATCCACCAGCTCTGCTCCTTCTGTGTAGTGCCCCTTCGCCCAGTTGTTCCCTGCACCGGTTTGTCCTGGAATAAGCAAAAGAGAGTAGCATGCAATTTAAATAGGGTGAGACAAGAGGGACCCGCTCATTGACATTAATACTTTTTAAATGGTGATGGAAAAAAATGTGTTATGAAGCAATTAGATAATATGGTATTGGTCACAGGAGGTGGAAAAACAGGCAACCACCAACACTGTTGGTTCGCAAATGAATTAGTACACCTCTTTAGATAAGTTAAATACCTACCAATTTTTAAAATGGACATATATTTTGACCAGGCAATTCCATTCTCATTTTTTAATAGGTAATTCTCAAACATGGTAAAATTCAAAGGAAAAAAAACATATACAAAAAAAAAAAAAAAAAAAGGGCCAGCCGAGTGGCGCATTGGTTAAGAACTGGCTGGGGAAGCCAGCTCTGAGCAGCAGGGCCCTGGTTCAGATCCCACATGAGGGTCAGTGACGCTGCGCCCTCTACAGCTAAGATGGGATGTGAACAGAATGTACCTGAAATTACACACAAGAATCTGAGAGTGGCTGCCTCTGGGAAGAGCCTGGGTGGGCACCAGCTTGGGTAGGCAGGAAATCAAGTTTTCACTGTACACCCCTTTGTTCCTTTTATATCCTGAACTGTGTAAATGTTTTTTGGGGTTTTCTTAGCTGAGCCATCCTGCCACCTTTTGGCAGCTCAGCGGCAACTCAGCTCGGGCAGGACTCGAACCACTGTTGCTCAGAGCTCGCACTCTTGAGCGCGCTCTTAACCAACTGAGCCACTCGGCCGGCCCCCGTGTAAATGTTTTACCTAGCTTACTCGCAAAATAAATGGCTTTAACTTTTTAAAAAATGCATTTTGGAAATAAATTGGAGAAATACACACTGAACTAATAACTATGCTTTTCTCTGAAGAATGGGATTATACAAAGTTTCAACATTATATATTTGCTTATAAAAATTTAACTAAACATACATGTATTTTATGATAATCGAAAGAAAATTATGAAAACACGCCTTTAAGGAAAATTTTGAAGTGTCATCAGTAAGTGGAAAATTATTAAATGATGACACACACACACACAGACACACACACAATGGAAAGGCACTGTGTCTGTCATGGTGGATGTCTGAGATGTTAATGACCTTTTCAAAAACCTGCAAAATGGTATGTGTAGCATGATCCTATTTTCCAAAAACAAAGTCAACTGTGTGTGTGTGTGTGTGTGTGTGTGTGTGTGTGTGTGCGCGCGCGCATGCATGCGCACACGAAGTACAGGGATACATAGAAAAGGTCAGGCAGGACACACCTCCACCATCTACAGCACTTATCCCCAGGGACTAAAGTCTCAGGGATGGGGGGTTTTGTATTTACACTATACACTCACGTATTGTTTGAAAATAAAAACATGTTAAAAGTTTGTTTTAACTTTGTAATGAAAATATTAAACATGTTTAAGTATTAAATAGTGATGTTTCCAGGAGGGCAGAACTGCCCATCTGAAGCAGATCAGGGCTGGTCCCTGTGCTTGTCTGTCTTAGTTCCACCTTTCAAGTGAGCTCTGCTTCACTCCTGCTGTCTTTGTCCCATCTGTAAGGGTGAAATTCAGGAAATCTATAATGCAGTTAGACTTAGCTAGCTATAGGTCTGACTCACCGCATAGCTTGCTGTTTAACCACCTAAAATTAGGCTTAGTTTGTTTGCAGTTTGATCCATCCTGATATTCATCTCTTTTCTCTTTGTTTCTCCCCTCACTGATTAACTGAAGAACTCTGTTCCCTTTCTCAAGTAAACCCTTACTTGTCGTTAATTAACAACATCCTAACCCGGGAAAGAGCAATTTCTTAATCTTCAGGGGCTCAGACACTGGAATCCAATTTACAACTTCTTGCAGTTTTACTGGTGATGCATTAAAGTCCCAGGCCACTATGGCTGAGTCTGGAGTCCGGAGATAACATCTTTTTCAAACAGATCAGACCCCAGGAAGGATGTGAGCCCTCAAAACTGCCTGACCGTAACTACAATATGGCCTCAAGGATAGAAAAGATAGTCTGGGGAATATAATCAATAATGTTGTAAATATTTTTAGGGGGCCAGATGGACTCTTGTCTTGTTAGGGAGACCACTTCATAGTCGGTATAGAGGCCTGACCACCGCACTGTATTTCTGAAGCTGATGTTGAATAGTATTGTATGTCAACTATAATTATATATACATATAGTCACGGGACATGGAGTAGAGTGTGGGAATGGAGTCAATGGAATTGTAACAGATAAGTATGATATCAGGGGTGGGAGGGCAGTAGATGGGGTAGGGGGGCTGTTTCTGTGTGAGGGATGAAAAGGAAAACTATTGCATTGTTCTGTACACCTGAAACTAACAATAAAACAAAATAAATAAAATAAAAGTATAATCAATTTGCTTGTACACTTCAAGCAGTAACCCCAAACAGTGCTTATATTGATTTAAGCAGCTATGCTTGAAAGTTTGCCATTAAAAAGGAATTTAAATGCTGAAAAAAAAAAAACTGCCTGACCAACTCCCCCTTTCCTATATAAGAAAAATCTAACCTGAAGTTAGGTGCAGCTGTCCATTCTCAGACTCTGGACCCTGCCCTGGCGAACCTCCCCCGGCCAACACTGGTGTTTCTCTTCTTACTACCCGAGGCAGCTGTCATCTTTGGACACTGCCATGGACTGCCATGGGTATTTTCTCTCTTACTAACTTTAATAAAACCTTTCTTCACTCTCCCACTTTACAGAGTCTTGTGTGAATGCTTTCACCTTTTGTGAATGACCAGGGGTTAATTCCACGCCACCCACCATTTAAGCCAGTCAAAAGCACCAAGGCGGGCCAGCCTAGTGGCGCGATGGTTAAGAACTGGCTTGGGACACCAGAGGACCCCGGTTCGGATCCCACATATGAGGGCCAGTGACACTGCCTTCCACAGCTAAGATGCTGAACAACAGCTCAACCTGAAGCTGGGCTGCTGTGAGTCGCTGGCGACGGCGTAGGCTGCAGCCCCTGTGGCAGTGGGTTGCCATGGGCTACCATGTGTAGCCAGCAGCCAGCGTGAGCGGCCAGCAGCCGCCGTGAGCGGCCATCCAGAAGCCGGCGACTGATGTGCCTCGCCCAGGAAGAGCGCGATGATGGTGCCAACTTGGGCCAGTGAAGCAACGTCCTCCACAACTAGACTGAAGAACAAAACGACAGCAACTTGTCTGTTCCCCTTCCCCCAATTCCCCAGCATTGTTCCCATCCCTCCAATTCCCCAATAAAAATCTTTTAAAAAAAAAGCACCAAGGCTATTGGGTATGGCAGGACCTATGGCTCAAAGTAAATGATGTAGAGATAATATATCTACTTAATAATAAACTGTAAGAACAGCCTCTCCATGCTTGCATCAGACCCTGAAGGCATTGGCAACTTCAGCCCCCGTCAGGTGGCCATTACCTTGTCTTTCAGAGATTCTCTTTCTTCCTGCTCAGTTGGGTCACGCAATGAAACCTGGCTGGCTGCCTTCTCTTACCAGACTTGAAAATGGTTATTGTCCTTCCTATGCCCCCACTAATTCCTGTCCATCCCCCCCCCCAACCCAGCAGGCAGCAGACTGGCCAGACCATAGGGGAGGCACCAGAGACTGGAATGAGAACAAACCAGGCACCTGGGAGAACAAACTTGGGGCTAGCCTTATACTCAGGGTTAGCCTGTTATACTTGGGTCTCAAAAAAAAAGACTGAGTGCAATTGTCACAAAGAGAATAGGAATTATTTCATTAAAATAGAGTAGAAACTACTAACTGAAAATAAGCAGGTGGCTTTAGGCAGATAAACAGCCACAGTAAATCAAAGTCACTCTGGGCCTAAGTGTACAGAGATTCTGAACTTGACCCTTCCTCTTCCTCCAGGTTCCACCATTCACTCAGCTACATCAATATTTATAGCATGGTCAGCCATAAAGTTTTTTCTGCTCTTGACAAAAGGAGGAAGCTGGTGACTTCAGAAAATATTTTGCCACTGTCTCATAGCAACAGACGTTCCCAATTAAATATTTGGGGGTCATGAGTTGAACATCTTTTGTAATGCGATGTTGTGACATTAATCAGCAGCTCCAGACAGTAGAACACAAAGCTGCAATCTTTAAACTTCGGCAGTCAGGCTGCAACAAATCCCCAGGGTTTTCTTAGAGTCCAACCTCCAGCTCACACTAGGGGTTGAATCAAGTCTTAAGGTTGTGTAAGTGCTCCCTGACTCTCTCCTAGCCCTGAATCTGGAGGAAAAAGGTACAAGTGCAGAAAGAGGATTGAAGGAAAGTTTCTTTCTGGTGTTTCATTTTCTCCAGCAAGACGCTTTTCCACTATCTTATTGTGCAGCCAGCAATGTTAAGTTTTTTTTAAAAAATATACCCATGTTCAAAACTCAAATGCAGATCACTTGCACTTTTAGAATTATACATACTTCAAATCTGTTTTGTGTTTTTCTAAACTGTTTCAAACTGTATTTGAAAATGGACTGACACTGATTTATTTTACCAACTCTGAAACCATGAGGTAGAAAGCCATCTCCCTTTCACAGAGTTCTGCCTCTTTTATTAACTGGAGACTGATGTAAAAACAACTATTTAGCCAAACAATATATTTATATATTCTGAATACTCCCTACATTCTACATAACAAATGTGCTATTTTAACAAAATAAGCATATTCACTTAAAAAATTCACAATTCTTAATTAAAGAGTGTCAATTTAAAAAAATACTATTAAATAAAGCTATTTCACATTACAATCTGTTAAAAATTTTAAATATTTTTAATCAAAAATAGGGATCATATTCTGACAAGAAGCAAAGATGCAAGAAGTAATTCTGGAAAATATTTAAATGCCAAATATCATATCTAACATTTTTCAAGGTTTACAAGGACAGTAACTTAGATAATTAAATGGTTACTATAAATCTGTCTTAATTTGTTCTTAAACTTTTTGATCCCATTTATTGACACCTGGAAAGACAAGACCAGATCTTCCTTAAACGTGCA